CCACAGTGTTCTCAAATTTTAGGCCCATCTCAAATTTGCCATTTCTCTCCAAAGTCCTTGAAAAGATAGTTTATGCTCAGTTACTGGCTTTCTTAGATGAGCATAATATTCTTGAGACTTTTCAATCAGGGTTTAAAACCCTGCATAGTACTGAGTCAGCCTTGGTGAAAGTCTTAAATGACATTTTTCTTGCAACTGGCTCAGGGAATTGTGTGGTCCTAGTGCTCTTAGATTTGACCGCTGCTTTTGACACAGTGGACCATGATATCCTTATTTCTCATTTGGAGCACCGGGTGGGTATCCGGAGTATAGCTCTGGAATGGTTTCGATCTTATCTTAATGATAGATCCTTCTGCGTGAAACTCGGAGATGCTGTATCTTCCTCTGAGCCCCTTTTGTATGGGGTACCGCAAGGCTCGGTCCTTGGACCCCTTCTTTTTCCCTTTACCTTCTTCCACTTGGTTCTATACTCAGGAATCACAGTGTTTCCTTTCATTTTTATGCGGATAATTGCCAGCTTTACCTACCGGTTAATAAGGCGAGCTCTTCTGTTAGCACACTTCTTGAATGTCTGGATGACATAAATCTTGGCTTGCTTTTAACCTTTTAAAGCTGAATGAGGATAAGACTGAGGTAATATATCTGTGCGGTTTTGAGATCTTTGCCCAAACATGCCCACCAGGACAATAGGCGTCGGTTGACAGGGGAGGATCCAAAGACAGGTAACGACCCTCATTGATACTGGGCTGTAACGACTCAGTCGTTAATGGACAGTGTTGGCCTTCTAAGGACTGAAACCACACCGAGGGGGATAAATATCTCCGACTCAACACCAGTCAGTCAGAACTGATGAAGCCTCTTGAATGAGAGGTGAAACGTCTTCGATCTAGAAATCCAAGTCCAGTTGATTTCCAAGGTTATTTTGGTTGCGGTTGACTGAGGTGATAGTATTTGGTGATTCTGTTGGTTCACCATCTGTTGACTTGGGCTCATTGGCTCAATATAATAAAAAGAATATTTTAAATCTAGGTATTAAGATGGATCCTGATTTAAGATTCGACAGCCAAATTGCAGCTGTCGTTAAATCTAGTGTAGTGGTTAAAAATAAACCAGATTCCAGAAGAAATATGTAATAGAATAGTATGTACTTCACATATAGACATTGTTTGTACTTATTTTATTATTTGTACTTGTTTGAGCTGAGTGGTTACGGGTTCATCAAGTTTATGTGAGTTCGTGTGAGTTGGGCTTATGTAAGTGGTCAAAATGTGTCCTGTTTTGGAAGTACAGGGTTCCCGGAATAGAGGAGTGAGAAGGGGGGCCTGATAGACGTCAAGACTGACAAAGTCCAGCTGTTGTGAACTGGCTATGTAGCTGATAAAAAGGAGTGAGCCTGAGGGGAGGAAGAGAGAGAGGAGATGACCATGCTGCAGTAAACAGTAGACGAGGTACCTTTTGGGGACCCAGCCGGCTGGGGAAGACGCTGACTGACTCGGGAC